CTCAACACACTTCAAGACACAACTCGCTTAACGAATGTTACACGTTCGCAACATATCTGATTGCTGACCAGGCGCTTTCCAATGTAATCCACACCGCCAATGTGCCTGGGACGAGGATGTCTACTTGTGAATGATACAGATACACAATGATGTTGCATCGGTTTGCAAGCTGTCTGGGATATCAAACACAAATGCACAATGTGATGCAACACGCAGCTGCACATATGCAATCAGTTCATGCAACAAAGCTAATGAAGCAGCTGACAACCAATCATATCAACACAATGCCCTGTGGCTGCATGCCAACCGATCCTCTGTAGTGGCGCATTCCAACGTCAATTTCTTTTGAGGGCAGCTGTTGCGTGCTCAAGCATTCACGACTGACTGAATAACTTGATGTAAACAATGCCAAGCAACCGTCCACTGGCGCTACGCGCAAGCCTGAGATGATCATACACTCACACTCATGGACTCATGGATACTGGTCTTGCAAGAAATGTCTGAGCATGATTTCTTCTGTCAGTCCAAATCAAGGTCACATGACATGAGTGCACGCAGGCAGACAGAAAAGCGTAACAACAACTTGCATCACTTCTCGATCAACTCAACGCACAATTGACAGCGCTCCTGTTTTCGCGTCCTTCCACGACTGCTTTCTCATGACATATCTTCATACACCGTCTGCCACAGTCTCACAGCTTCTCCCTCGCCCGCTTGATCTGAACTGGAAGATCATCGGGCTGAGACAATCGCTTTGGCGCCGCCTTGACTTTGACCGGGTTCTCCTTCGGCAACGCCCTGGTAGTAGATCGTGACCCCGGCTGTTTCACCCGGCCAGTCTTCTTGTCCTTTTTGTGAACAGGAACCGCGGCGGCTGGCGTCGACACATCATCACGAGCCTCACGAGCCACAGCTGTAGCCTCAGAAGCTTCCGGAGCCACATCCTCAGGTGCCACAGCCGAGGGAGGTGCGTCAGGCGGTGTTGTCGGCGGTGAGTCAGTCCCTGCTTCATCTCCGGCAGTGATGTCATCAAACGGATTGTATCCGAAGTTCGGCTCGATTGGGTCCTCGAGGTTGGGACTGGGGCTGGCAACTGGCGATGGACCAAACACCTCTCCAAATTCTTGCTCTGTAACGTCCGACTCTATGGTGGGGCCCACGGGGGCTGCAGATGCATCTTCGGTCCTGTCGTTCATTCTGGTGAATGCAACAGGAAAGCTCTCATTCTGTAATGCCCACTGGAATGCACATGCACATGCAGCTTCGAAGAAAGCACATAAAGCTACAACAACAACATGACTGCGACATGATGTGGCTCGGCTGATGTCATGTGATATTTTCAAATGACAATGCATCGCAACAACAGGCAGTCTTGCAGTACTCAACAACGGCAAACTGACCGATGCACTCAAGCAGGGCACAACCCAGCACCCACCCTGGCCTGGCTGAGGTGTAAGGCTGTGGTGTCCTGGAAAAGTTAGCCTTCGGCAACGCGGTGTCATCACCATCACTATCATCTTCTTCATCACCTTCCTCCTCAAATGACTCGTCGCCGTCGCCTGTGCCAGCATCATCAGCCGAATCAGCAGCGCCCTGTTCCTCAGATATGTGTTCATGTGAGTCACGAGCAAGCAACAAGATTCAACAAACTTAAACAATAACTTCAACAACTTCAAGACTGCCATATGGTGACACTAGAAAAGCGTTACGGACATTTGACAAATATGTTCAAGTCTCTCCCGCCGGTGACGTTGGCGACCCTGCCGCTGGACGAGCTTCACCTGGAGACCAGTCTGTGCCAGGCGCTGGCGCTGGGCCCGCTGGGCCATGCGGTCTCGGCCCCGGTCCCGGTGGTGGCCCTGCAGGCGGTGGAAGAGGCGGCCCTTGCCCTGGTACAAACGGCCCTGCTGGTGTTATGAAGATCGTGATGTTGCTGACAGCCATCGACCCAAGCAAGTATGGGAGTGCATTGGGTTGCAAGGGGCCCATGTTCGGGAACATTGGCGGTGGAGGCAGTCCTGCTGGGGGACCTGGGATCGGGCCTGGTGGCTGTAGAGGATGCCCTGCTGGCGGATGTCCCATGCCCTGTTTTGCTGTTGGCGGAGGAAGCCCTGGCGGCGGTGGCGCTGGGGGCGGGAAAGCTGCCGGCGGCGCCGGAGGAGGAGGTGGGAGCGGTGGCTGAGGCGGCTTGGCTGGAGCTGGTGGTGTTGGCGGCAGCCCTTCCGAGTTGGCTGGCGCGGCTGGTTTAGAGGCTCCATGAGGGTTGGCCGGCGGCGGTTTGGATCCCGTGGTTGTGTCCAGCGTGGCTGGCGGCTTCGGTCCCACGGTTGTGTCAGGCTTGGCCGCAGGTGGCTTGGGTCCCTCCAACTTGGCCGCAGGTGGCATGGGTCCCATGCTTGTATCAGGCTTGGCCGGAGGTGGCTTGGGTCCTATGCTTGCATCAGGCGCGGTCGGAGGTGGCTTGGGTCCCACGCTTGCATCAGGCG